TACAAAACAAAATAAATTAAGAATATAAAAAACAAATTAGTGGTTAGCTATTAATCCAGCAACCTGTATGGGACAAACTCTAGAAAATGAGACTAGCCATGTGCCTCAAAGGGGTACCTTTACTTCTGTTCTTCTGTTCCTTGTATTTCCTAAATTGATGACTTGCATTTTGATCTTTGTCTCAGATTGGGCTTCTGGAATAACTCAGACTAACACATAGCCATGTCTCCTTCACATCCAGGTTACTAGAATCAGCTGTCTTAACTCACTAGAGGGCAGGGAGTCCATTTCAACTGTTCCTTCCTTTTCCCCATCTCACGCACACATCAGCTCAATGAATAAATACTGATTACTAACAGAGCCATTAGAAGGTACATTGAGAATTCAGTACATTCAAGTGACAACTGAAATCCTTAACCTTCAGCCCACACTTTCCAAGTATTATTGAAGTACAGAATTTCCAATTCCCAAGTATATTCAAAATAAATTTGTTCCTGGACACTATTATTAATCTTGTCTTCAATTATTTCATTGTCATCACTTACTTTGCATTTTAGTCTGTTACCTGTGAGAAGCTGGTATTCTATGAAATATTAAATACCCAGTAATAAAAAACATTAAACCTATAGAATTTGTAAATATTTTTATTCTCCAGTGTGTGATAGGAATTTTTCATCAAATATGTAATTTGTAAGTGTGGCAATTATGATAAAGAGAAGTAACCTGTAAAAGTTACTTTTACATATTTATTTTCAGTTTTCAGTATTTTTTATTTTATGTTTTTTATGTGTATGAGTGTATTGTCTGCATGCATGTAAATGCATCTGTGTCACGCAGTACCCACAGAAGTCAGAAGACAGTGTTGGACCTCCTGGAACTGGAGTTACAGACAGTTGTTAGCTGTCATATGGGTACTGGGAATCGAACCCAGGTCCTCTGCAAGAGCACTCAGTGCTCTTAACCACTAAGCCATCTCTCCAGCCCCATGATTTTAGTATCTTAAACCCACTTATAATATAGTTATTTATTAATTTATTTTAAACATATCATTAAAATAATAATCATCATGCTTGCTATTATCAATCCTAGGTCCCTAAAGTCATTATTATGATCAGCTACGTGTATGAAGATTACCCATAGTTTCTTCTTATCAATATTTGAATACATATAGACTCCAAGGGTTTTGTTTTTGTTTTTGTTTTGTTTTTGGTCTTTCTGAGACAGGGTCTCCCTGTAGCCCCAGGCTGATTTGGAACTCAGTATTTAGACCAGGCTGGCCTTGAACTCACAGAGATCTGCCTGGCTCTGCCTCCCAAGTGCTAGGTATTTAACTTATAAAGAAATGACCAAGTACTAATACGGCTTTACTATAGGTGAATCACCTAGATATATCATTGACAACACTTATTAAAGGCTTCAACAGAGTCGCCCATAAAATATCCAAAAAAAGGCCAGGCGTGGTGGTGTACGCCTTTAATCCCAGCACTTGGGAGGCAGAGGCAGGTGGATCTCTGTGAGTTCAAGGCCAGCCTGGTCTACATAGTGAGTTCCAGGACAGCTGGGGCTGCAGGGAGACCCTGTCTCAAAAAGTTATATATATATATACAAAGAGAGAGAGAAACACCAAACCAAACTTCCCTTAAAAAAACCCAAAAACTTATTAAAAACTTCAGTTGAAAACTGACAGTTTTTTATTCAGTTGAGAATGCCTATCCTGCCATTTTTTTCTTCCTAGAAAATCAGGACCATTACCAATTAAGCAGTTACATTTTTAGAAAAAGTTCTATATTCCCTTGATTATAATAATTCAATGAATATACTGGGATGCTACTAAGTAAAGGAATAAAATTTGAAGATTAGAATAATAGTTGCCATTGTTTCTGAATGTTATAATAAAAATTAAGATGTGATATATTTTAGAAAGTTATAAATATCACAATTTATTGTTACTTCCTTTAGTTTAACCACTTATGTATACAAAGATACATGGTTGCTACATTGTTTCAGATATTTTCAGAAAGATTTGTTTGTGAAAACTGATGAAAGGAATGCTAATTTATTTTAAATTGGGCATATAGTGCACACTTTGTAACTCTACAGTTTGGCATGTATTGGCTTTCTGGAAATGACACTCATTTTTCATGTGTGTGGGTGGGCATCCAGTACACAAAAAAGTGGCATGCCATTTAGTCAGACCACAGATGTGTGGATTGTTGTTTGAGCCTCCAGTTCACCTAGCTAATACAGTATTCTAAGGTATACAATTTAAACTCTAAGGAGTGTTGTAGCCTGTGTATAATGTCCTTTGACTGATCTCTGTAACACAGTATCGTATGTTCGTATCATATGTTGAAGCTAGGAGAGGAGACACAGGGTGAGCATCTTAGCTTTGTCACCTGTACATCTGACCACAGACAGGCTTGTTTTTTCAATGGCTCACAGTGGAAAGTTTCATCTAAACTTCTTGCTTTTCATTATCTACTGTGATAAACTCGAAAATAAGTATATTAACACTTCTGCCTTGCGGACTCTAATATTCTTTGATGAGTAACATTGATAACATATTATGGAGGGTGGTCGGATTAAACCATTAGTGCTACTCAATGGACAAAATCAATTTTTTTAATTAAAAATCAACTTTGTGGATATGTAATTTACATCTAAAATTTTGCTTAGCAGGTTTGTAGAGCTATCTCAGTTGATAAAGTTCCTGCTGTGTAAGCCTAAGGACCCAAGTTCAAATCCCCAGAACCCATAGAAAAAGTGGTGTGTGGCTGCATGTGACTGTAATTCCAGCACTAGGGAGACAGAGACAGGTGAATTCCTGGAGCCTACTGGGTGGCTAGTCTAGCCAGTCAGTTCTGGGTTCAGTGAGAAACCTTTTCTCCAACAATAAGTTAGAGACTGATTGAGGAAGACACACCATGTCAACCTTTGGCCTCTACCCATGAACTGCATTCCTGCATGAACAAATGCACAGCCATGCAGAAACACATACATCATACATGTCCTATACACATATGTACACAAAAAAATATGGAAAGAATTTAAATGTATAAATGACTTATCAAGAAATTGGGGGCTAAAGAGTTCCAGACTTTATGAGAAACTTCCAAATTATTTTCCAAAATGACAATGTGTGTGTGTCTGTGTGAGATTTTTCAGGTTCATCAATAATATATTAGGCTCTAAAACCTTACAACTTCATATTGCTCTTTAAAATTTTAGGGTGGGAGTAGAACAGTGATCAAAGACTTGTATAGCACATGAGTCTGTAAATTCAGTTCCCGGGAATGAACACACACACACACACACACACACACACACACACGCACGCATGCACGCGCACACTTCAGTATTGTAATGAATGTGAAGTGCTGTCTTACCATGGTTAATTATATATATATGTTGCTGATGACTAGTGATGTTAAGCCCTTTGTGATGTGTCTGTACGTTGTTTTCCATCTTTTGTTAAGTTGTTTTTTTTTATAATTTCTTGAAATTTAGTAGGTTTTGAGATGTGAGTTCTATATATGTTCTGCATACAGATTTATTATTTGGTAGAAATATTGTAAAATGTTCTCCCAATTTGTAATTTGCCTTTCATTTTATACATTATGGTTGAAAACATGAATGCTTCTAAGTTTGAGGAAATGCAGTTTTTATTTCTTATATCTAAGAAATCTTTGCTTATTCATGTCCTGTAAAGCTCCTCTTCTCCGTTTTCTTTTAATCTTCATAGCTTTAACTTAACATTTATACTGAAATATTATTTATGTAAATTGCCTTTTGAAAATAAAGGTGGCCTGAGCCAGGTGTGGTGGCACATACTTTTAATCCCAGCCCTCGGAAGGCAGAGGCAGGCAGATCTCTGGGAGATCAATGCCAGCCTGGTCTACATTGCCCCGAAGCTGGGGATACAGGGAGACCCTGTCTCAGAAAACAAAACCAAACAAAGGTGGCCTGTGTTTGGTTTGCCTATCAGAGGGTGATAATTGAGTGTCACATAAATTTCCTAAAGATAAACTACTTCAAATGACTGTCAAAGGATATTTTTAAAGCATTTGCATTTATATTTTTACTTCAAGATATTTGGTTACCTATTATGACTCATAGAAGAAGTCATAACTTTATTTCTATCTAATGAGAGAAATTATCCTCCAGTGTGAATACGATCCTAAATACTGAATGGCATATTGAACTCTGTTCTGTTGCATCCTCCTCTTCTCATCTGTCTCCTTTTTCCCCATTAGCTTCCTTACCTTCTTTCTGCTCTAACTTTTTTCTTGCTTCCTTTCATTTTCCTTCTTCCTTTTAAAGTAACCTATTCATTTTTCTAACATCATAATTTGTGTGATTTAATAGCTCTGTGTTTTTACATGCTAATGTGCTCCCTGTGTAGTAGTCAGTTCCTGAACTTGAAGGAGATGCTTTTCTACAATACCATATTTGCATCACCAGTATTGCACATCCTACTGGTATTGTAATTGATGTTTGTTTCTTTGTTATATCACAGAAAATAATGCCAAAAAGATATGGGACTATGTACATGGTCATAGAAAGCTATAATTCATACTGTTTTTATGTATAAAAACTGGCTCTTAGTAATGTGGGCATGTTAAAATGAGTTTTAAGAACAAATGAAAATTGATCATTTTGGATTGTAACATGAAACTGTAATTTGCTATGACAAAACTTAAACTTTTTTTAATGGAGGGTGGGTAAAAAGTACACCTTCTGTTTTACTTACATGTATACCGTCATTTTGAAGGCTATAATTTCTGACAGAAGTTTGCTACAGTATAGGTTTTGATAGCCAATTGAGTAGTAACTATTCTCAAATCTGTTTTGTAGCATCTTGAAGTCACAGCTTCTTAGTATGCTAATGATTATACTTAGTGGACTATCCTCCTTAGATTTATTTTCCATTATTTCCTCGAGTGAATTTTTTAGGAAATGTATTCCTGATTGGACTAAACAACCATTTCTTTTTGCTATAGGATAAGAAATGGATTCTCAATCATGAAGATGTCACATTGGGAGAATTACTAGGCAAGGTATGTAATCAGCTGAGCTAAATAGCCAAAATCTTTCTATTTATCATGAACTTTACATTGTTGTTCAAAGCTTTTTTTAATATTCCAGTACACAGCAAGGAATGTATACATTAATCCAGAAGAACACAGTATCATATCTCTTTAAAATCCTACAACATTCACTGATGTAGATGTGTGATACTCTTGGAAAGGCATGTGGATGATTCTGTCTGTAAAAATAGTGTATACATTACACTTAAAGGGCTAAAGCCATAGTGATTTTATTACAATGTAATAAAACCAAAATTATTAAATGCAGGTTTAAAAAGAAACTGTGAAGTAGTGAAAGTTTAAATAAACACCTAGTTATCTTACTTTGTTTCCAGTTATATATGGTTGTCCAGAAAAAATAGGCATGTTCATGAAATTATAGTTTATAACACCAAATTTTAATAAAAAATAATGTGAACAAGAGACCAAGGAGACGGTTCAGGGAATAAAGGCACTTTTATCAAGCCTGACCACCTGAACTCAATATCCTACATGGTAGAAGAGAACTGACTCCTACAAGTTGTCCTCTGACCACCACACATGTGCCTTGGCAGGTATACAGCCCTGCACCCACACACTAAATAAATAAATGTAAATTTAGAAATAATGACGTAGAGAAAATGTGCTTCATCTTAAATACCTGTTTTGTAACTAGCTCCATTAGTGGTCAGAGCGAACTGTTCAGCAGTTCCATAAAGTTTTTTTCTTCTAATCTAGTTGGATGCTTCCTCCAAGTCATAGCCATATTATATGTTATTTATAACAATAACAACAGACATTTGATAATTAGTCAAATAGACTACTTACAAATTATTCTCATAATTTAATTTATGTTCTGGTGAAAAATACTAGCTTGTCACTATAATCAGGAATGTTTCTCTATAAAGTTTGAATTGAATTTAGCTTCATGATGTACTATGAAAACTGTACAATTCAGTTAATTTTGGGAAAGTTTTCATACATAACTTATAAGTGATCGGTACTAGACTCAATTCAGGTCCTGCATTTTAAGTAAAATAATAAATTATGATTCTTTATTTACTTAAATGTAAACTTGGTGACTTGAGCATGTTTCCCAATTTTATGAAAACCTGTAATATATGCTAAGACAGTATATCTTTGTGGAGGCCATCTCCTTCACAGGACTCTTAGCACTTACTATTTTAAATTATCTTTTCTAAGTGGAAGCATAAATTTGCTATTGGAAAAAAGATTTTATTTGCTAATACACTTTTTATTAAGGTTATTCTGAAGAGTCTTAAGCTAAAAGGAGAGGCTATGTTTATTTATTCTTAGATGGTCTCATAATTCTTAAGAAAACAATTCTGAAGAATATTATTTAGAAGCTGGGCGTGGTGGCACATGCCTTTAATCCCACCACTTGGGAGGCAGAGGCAGGTGGAGCTCTGTGAGTTCAAGCCAGCCTCATCTACATAGTGAGTTCCTAAAAAAAAAAAAAAAAAAAAAAAAAAAAAAAAAAAAAAAAAATTATTATTTAGTATTGCTGTGGTAGGCTATAGCAATGATTTAGTCATAAGTTATTACAAAGAAACTAATTTCCATGAAAGTTTAATTAAATAATTTCAAAACTAAATCACTTATTGAAATGCGGACAATAAATTACCGAGGACATATTTTTCAGTACTAAATAAAAATATTTTAATTAAAAAAATTTGTGTACACTGTAGTGTATGACTTATCAGCAAGAATTTAGCTTCTTACAAGGACTGTTTCTAAGAATAATTACTTTTTCAATGACTAAACATGAAAGTCTCAATAAATTTAGCCATTTTAAAGAAAGTACTTTTTAAGAGATGTTGTTTAGCTTAATTTTGTCTGATATTTTTAAATGATGGAACATAATTTATCATTTAAAATTATACTACTCTTCCTGAATATTTACAATATACTGAGAATTCAATTGCTTATGAGAGCACATGAATGGTTAAAAGAGAGCTAAACTTTAGAGTTTAGGAGTAATTAATGAGTAATGACAAAAACTAATCTTTTTGTTTAGAACTATAGCCTTAGGCTGCATTTGCTGAGTAGCCAACATTCAGTAGGTACTGTATTCAGCCATCCTGTATTTACTGTATGTCTCTGATAAACCAGGCCCTCTCTTTGGTGTTTGGCAGACTCAGTGAACAAGCAGGCAAAATCCCTTGCATTTACCATGCTTCTGCTCTTACTAGCAAGGAAAAGACAGGTAATAAGAAGCATTTTAAATAGGTAAAGTTTTATAGCGTTAGAGGACACTAAGTTCTATGAAAAGTGTAAAGGATTTGGGAATGCTGTTAGTCAAAGCTGGTTCTTAAAAAGAAATCTAGTCAAATCTTATTAAGATGATTTGATTAAAAACTTGAATGAAACAAGCTGTTTAGTCATGTAGACAGCTGGCAATCAGGGTTCTAGACAGAGTGAATAACCCATGCAAAACTCACCTGCTGAATAAGGGATCCAGATTGGCAGTAACTGAGCAAGCAAAAGGGGGAATGTGGAAGGAGAGGAAGTTAGTGAGATGGTGAGGATATAGATCGCACAGCTCTTGATTGGCCATTGTAATACCTTTGACTTTTATTGTGAATGAAAAGGAGAGCTGGTGGGTGATTTTTTCAGTGGAGAAGCATGATTATACTTTTGAAAAGGTCTCTGAGTTAAAAATAGGCTCCTGACTTGAAAGGTTAGGAGAAAATTGTACATACCTCACTGAAAAATGATATTAAAACAAGGTTGTTGTGGCAAGGGGGTAGTGAATTTTAGATACATTTCTGAAGCTGAACCAGTTGAATATCTTGATGGATGCTGTGGGGATTGAGAGAAAGAGGTAACTTAGCTTTAAGTGTAGCAGGTTTCTGGAACAAAACTAGAAGTTTTTGGTACATTGAATTTGTCTGTTAGATTTCTGCAGAAAGATGATAGAAGATATTTGAACAACATGTATTGAGGTTAAAAGAGATGTCTATTCCAGAATATAAATAGAGTAATTCTTGTACAGAGGTAGTTTTTAAGAGCATAAGAACAGATAGGTCCAATGAGGGAGTGGGTCTAGATAAAGGAGGGTAAGAACTGATTCCTGGTCACTTAGCCTATTCCAGCACTAATAGGCTAGGGGAAATAAAAGCAGCCCTCGAAGGAGGTTGAGAAGAAACCACCAATTAGGAAGGCAGAACCCCAGGAGCTGTTACGATGCCAAGAGCAGAAGGTATTCCAAGGAGGAAACAGTGATGCGGGGGTCAAATGCTTGGTGAGAAGTACTTGAAATGCCAATGGAGATTTAACTGCTGGATTTGGCAATAATGTCACTGATAATAAGGCTCACAGTTTTGTTGAAATGCTTTATGTGAAAAATTGGTTGGAACGGATTTAAGAGAGAATGAGGAGAAGCATGAGATCATAAGAATATAGCTGAAGTTTTTCCTCAGAAGGAAGCAGCGATGCAGAGTATTTGCATCAAAAGAAATATTTTATGTTGTTTAACCTGAGAGAAATAACAGTATGTTAATTTATAGTTGACAATGGTGTAGTTGAAGATGTTGGGATTTGAGAGAGTTATGCTACATCAAAGTGAGAAAGAATGAGATAGTTCACAATGGAAGGAAGACTGACAGAAATACAGTGTCTCGTTTTTAACACAGGGAGGAAGATTGGCAGTCACAGAAATATGTAGCTGGGAGTCCAGGAGTTGTTTAGAACATGTCCGTTTCTTTTTTCAGAGAAGTAGGAAGCAACGTCATTAGCTAAGAATGATAGGGGAAGACTTGAAAAGAGAGAAGCCGGCAAACCAGTCATCCAGAAGACTGGGAGTACAAATGTCATCCTGAGCCACATTAAGGGACCCTTAAACATTGTTTATGAATTTATAGTTGAATCAGTCAGCAGGGTTATGGTTTTTCTCTAGTCATGTTTGAGTAGACTGTATTTGGGGTTTAATCAGGGCTGTGAATTTGCCAAGGGAGTGCTACAGATTAAGAAAGGAGTGAAGATGATGAAAGTATATGGTAAGTATCTGAAATTATTGACCATGGAATTTGAGGTCAAAAGGAGGAAAGGATATTATTCTTACAGAGTTAAAAATTGTTACAGATGCATACTAGAGGACATTAGAAAAATGAGAGCCAGACAGAAGATAAGGTGAATGAGGGCGATATTATGGAAGATTTACATTATTGGTCTTAGCGATGTTAGGATATGACCCTAGAAATTACATGGATTATAAGAGCATTGGAAGAGAGACATCTAAAAAATGAAGTTTGAAGTGTTAAAAGCACTTTTAAATGTCTATTGAAGTAATCAAAAGTTGCTACCGATGTAACACCTGGTAGTGATAGTGACATGTGAGTTCGAACTGTCAGTGAACAAAAGAAAATAGTTTCTGTAGGTGACAGGCACGTGTAGGATAGTGGGAAACAGATGAATGACAGTCTCAAAGCTAGGAACATTTAAGAACATAGATGCAGAATGCTTTAAAGGCAGTAATAAGAACCTAAGGGAATGCTAAAACACTTTTGTGGTAAGGTGTTAGCCTTATTGATCTTTTCTGTAGTGTCAAGTCCTTTTTTTCTGAGGACCGTAAATAGGGCATTATATCAAAATAGATGCTGCCATACTATTAGGAATGTTCATGCATTTGATAAACTTTAGGTCACCATTGGTGATATTAATGCTTGAGTAGGCACCTTTGTCCTCGGTACCTTTCAGCATTGACAACCTGTGATAGTTGACACATTATCATCTGCCGGGGTTTTGCCTCCTTTCACCCCATTCTTCCACTTTTCTCCAGCAGACATGGTTATGAGGATCAATAGTGAGCCCTCTGATTCTTTCTCTTATCTTTAATCATGATGATATTTTCATTTAATAAAGTATAGTGCTTAAGGGATGAAATGGAGTAGGTGTAAGGAAACATACATTTTTTGACAGTATAGATATCTCCTTTTGTTGCAGCCAGGAGATAATAAGGCTTTCTCTAGCAAAGATTAACCTGACAGTATTCTGCTGGATGAAGAAATGATTGCTCATATTTATTAAAATTAGAAATTTGTGATAAACAACACAGTAATTTGGTTAACTCAAAATGCTTCATTTCTTGCTTACTTGTTTTTTAGCAAAGATTTGTGTTCTATCCATGCATACTAAACAATGATTATATTTTTATTTTCAGGGGAATTTTGGTGAAGTATATAAAGGCACACTAAAGGATAAAACTCCTGTAGCTGTTAAAACGTGTAAAGAAGATCTTCCTCAGGAACTAAAAATAAAATTTTTGCAAGAAGCCAAGTGAGTTCTCTGAAATAATACTAAATGTGTTTATAAGTCATTATAGCATATTTATTATTAATTATCATTATCAGATATTTAAGTTATTGGTAAATTAACTATATCAAGTACATATAAAAATGCAAATATAATTTGGACAGAGTATGATGGGTGGACATATGCGTGGGTGGAGAGTGAATGAAGGGTGGATAGGCAGGTGAATGCAAAGAAGGGCAAAAAGGAGAACAGAGGTGGCGGTGAGGGAACACAGCCCATAGTATGCATCACTTGATGTTCATCTCCATTTATAATCTAAAAATACCAATGGCAGTAGATTAAAGTTAATATTAAGTACTTAACATACATACAGTCTGAAGAATAAAGTTGTAAACTCTTTTTCATGTACACTAATGGAAATTCAGCTGATAAAAGTCTTGCTACTATAATTGAAATTCACAACTTATTGTTACAGTTATCAGTATTTTTAAGGTGAAAGGCTATGTCTAGCATAAGTTTAAAGAAATTTTCTACTTTTTAACTTGTTTTATTGCAAAGTAAAGAGCTTAATTTCTTCTTTTTAAGTGAAATTATGCAGTGTGACATTAAAAACATAAATTTTATCCATTCAAATTTCTGAGTATTCTTCCTACACTTCAGAGTTAAATATTTATATAGTGAGTGTTGTCTGAGATCATGCTGGCTATCTTATGCAATTTCTTCACTACTATACTTCAACCTAAGAAACGATATTTTGTTTTAAAGTCAAACATTCTGAAACTTACATTTTAATTTCTACTACAAATTACAATATCTACGTTATTGACAGAATATTTTATCTCTAGAAATTTTCCTTATTTTTTTAAATTATTTTTTAATAACCACATAATTAGAAGAAGCATTTCATTACAACAGCGTTGACATAGTCAATAACAATTTCCAGAGCTAAGCTGCATCTCTTTCAAAATTGGCTGTAAAATTTTAGGTTCACAGTTGAATTAATACAGTTATACTTGGGCTGGAGAGATGGCTCAGTGGTTAAGAACACTGGTTGTTCTTGCGGAAGACCCGGTCTGAATTCCAGCACCCACGTGGCAGCTAACAGCTGTCTGTAACTCCAGTCCCAGGGCATCTGACAGCCTCTTCTGACCTCAATGAGCATTGCATGAAATGGATGTACTTACCTACATGCAGGCACTACACACATATACATAAAATAAAAATAATAAATAAAAATTTTAAAAATACAGTTATACAATACTGTACTCAATATAAACCCTAGCAGACATAAAATTAAATGAGGTTTTAACCTTTAAAAAAGATCTCCACTTTATTTTAAAATATACTGTTTCATACAGAAAAACTCATTTTTAATGCAGTTAATGCTTAGATGTTTGCACATGTGTCTTCTAAGCTCTATGTATCTGATTATTACTAATCACATTTGATTACTTTCTGAGATCCTTGGCACCAGAGCATGGATATAAAGTCATCAGATAGATTTCAATGGTAATTTTTTCACATCTACTAATTAACAAGCAAATTTTTATGCTTCTTCCTCAAATATAACTCATTTTTTATTTATTGATTTTTGTGTGTGTGTATTTCATACAGAACATCCCAAACAATTTTATTCATCTATATACCCACATCCCAAGTGGCACCCTCCCATAGTCTCCCTCCCCACTGCAGCCCATATACTCTGTCATCCCTGTTACTGTCCACAGTGTTGCCAATGCCCCTAGCCGTTCCCCAGTTCTTGTCCATCCGCTGAGTCTAGTCAGCCTATCTGGAGTTCCTTGTTTTAGGAAGATCAGTTCTTCTTCATATAGCAGCAAGCAGTTGCCAGTATTCCTTTAGATAAGATTGGGGTCTGCTGTTCATTTTCCCAGTTCAATGCTTTGTTACTGTCTGGGAGTCTCTTGGGCCACCCTGGCCAACAACTCAAAGGACAGTATCTCCTGTCCGGCATTGTTTCTTGTTATGTAGACTTTAGCTAGACACGTGGACTCTTAAAGAATTATATTGATCCCTTTAACCTTTGGTTATACTTTCCTTTTGGGTATTTAAGACCATGCAGTTGGCCCAAATAAATCTCATTTTTACTCTTAAGGTCATTTGAGGACCTGTTCCTCAGGGGTCACGTGAGCTTGGGAGGAACCCTGGCCCCTTTCTTTTACTAGTTCCACTTATGTGAAGATAAGTCAAAGGTCCTACTTGACCCTGGTTGGCTTCACTTGGAAGCATGGAGGAAATTATTCCACTGTGTTGACCCTTCTCTTTGTAGACTGGACACTGGTTCAAGTCCATCTGGTGGGGTCTCCATGGCGTCCTTGATCAGGAGGACAGTTGACTCACCACAGTTATAGGACATTTTGAGAGATGCTCCATAGTCCCCAGGAACTTAGTCAACCTTGGAGGGCAAGGAGCAAAAATTGTCCCTCTGACCAAATTAGTGCAGGCCTGAAAGTATGGCTGTTAAACATCCAATAAGGTTAATTCCACCAGCCTGGTACTTCTAATTACCATGTACTATGTAGATAAAGCTTAGGCAAAGATCAAAGTATCTCAAATAAACCTTGACTAGACATGTATTATGTTCCTTGAGCTAGTTGTATGTATAATTTGTCAGTAAGTTGTTGGACTAATATGGTTCCCTATGATTTTTTTAAAACTAGCTAGGCATTATTTTATCTCTTGCATTGTCTAACCCTTCCACCGTGGTTTCCCCATTTAAAGTGTCCCCATTTTTCCCATTTCACCTTTAATAATACCCTTCTCCTATGGTCCCATCTCTCTTGAGCTCCTTCTTTCCCTTTATCCCCAAGGTTCCTTGTATAACCTTCCCTCCCCCCTCCCCTTAAAATAACCCAATTTTTTATCCCTTATTTCCTACTGTTCTTCTCTTTCAGATTTCTTTCTTTTCCTTTACTTCCTTGGTTCCTTTTCATTATCCTGGTTCCTGTAGTTATATCTGGATACATACTCGCTTATAAGGATCTGGTGCTAGGATCCACATATGAGGGAGAACATAGGTCATGTGTTTTTCTGAGTCTGTGTTACTTCATTTAGTTTAACAGTTTCTAGTTCCATTCATTTACCTGTAAATTTCATGATTCCATCTTTCTTTATTGATGAGTGAAACTCCATCATATAAATTAACCACATTCTCATTATCCACTCATCAGTTGTGGGACACTTAGGTGGCTTCCATCTCTTAGCTATTGTGAAAAGAGCAGCAACAAACATGGATTTACAAGTGTCCCTGAAATAGGATGAATTCTTTAGGTATATGCCAAGGAGTGGTATGACTGGGTCAAACTCTAGGTTCATTTTTAGTTTTTTAAGATTTCTCCACACTGCTTTCAATAGGGGTTGAACAAATTTGCTATCCCACCAGCAGGGCCCACCAGCAGGGGAGCATTCCCCTTTCCCCACTTCCTCGCCAACATTTGGTATCATTTATTTTCTTCATCTTAGCCAGTCTGACTGGTAGGAAGAAATCTTAAAGTGGTTTTAATTCACATTTCCCTAATTATTAATGATGTTGAACACCTTTAAGATGCTTTTTAGCCATCTTTATTTCTTCTTTTGAGAACTCTCTGTTCAGTTCCTTACCCCTTGTATTTGAGTTACTTCCATTCTTGATTCTTTGTTTTTTGAGTTTGTTGTATATCCTGGATGTTAAACCTCTGTCAGATGTGTGGCTGGTGAAGATTTTCTCCCATTCTGTGGGTTTTCTCTTCTCTTTCTTGGTTGCTTCTTTTGATGTACAGAAGCTTTTAGTTTAATGAGGTCCCATTTGTTGATTGTTGGCCTCGTTTCCTGAGCAATCGGTGTCTCAATTAGAAAATCCTTTCCTACCCCTATATCTTGTAGGTTGTTGCCAATATTTTCTTCCAACAGTTTCAGAGTTTCAGGCTTCATATTGAGGTCTTTCATTCATTTGGCATTGACTTTTGTGCAAGGTGAAAGATAGGGGCTTAGTTTCATTCTTGTACAGTGGAGATCCAGTTTTGCCAGCATCATTTGCTGAACATGCTGTCTTTCCTCCAGTGAATATTCTTGGCCCCTTTGTCAAATATCAGGTGGCTGAAATTGCATGTACTCATATTTGAGTCTTCAATTTTGTTTCATTGATCTACAGGTCTATTTTTGTGCCAATACTGTGTGGTTTTTATGACTAAGCTCTGTTGCATAGATTAAAATCTGCTATAGTAATCCCCCCAACATTGCTCTTAGTGCTCAGGGTTGCTTTGGCTACCTGATGTATTTTGTGCTTCCATATGAATCTTAGGATGTTTTTTTCCAATTCTGTGAAGAATGTCATGGGGATTTTGATTGGCATTGCATTGAATCTATAACTGGCTTTTGTAAGGATGGTCATTTTCACAATATTAATTCTTCCAATCCATGAGCATGGGAGGTCCTTCCATCTTCTGATGTCTTCCTCAATCTCTTTCTTTAAAGATATAAAATTTTCATTAAAATTCAAAGATTTGATGTCTTTGGTCCGGTTTATTCTGAGATATTTTATTTTATTGCTGGTATTGTGAAAGGAAGTGTTTCCATGTACTCTATCTGATTGCTTGTTATTGGTATATAGAAAGGCTAGAGGCTTTTGTAGATTAATTTTGTAACCTGCCACTTGCTGAAAGTGTTCACCATTTCTCAGTGTTTTCTGGTGGAATTTTTGGCTTCCCTTAGATATAATATCATATCATCTGCAAAAAGGGATAATATGATCTCTTCTTTTTAAATTATTGCTCCTATAATTTCCTTTTCTTGTCTTATTGCTCTTGTAAGAGTTTCAAGCACTATGTTTAAAAGAAGTGGAGCTAGTGGACAGCCTTGTCTGGTTCCTGATTTTAATGGGAATGCTTCCAGTTTTTATCCATTTAAAATGATGTTGGCTGTGGGCTTGTTGTGTATGGCTTTAATTCTGTTGAGGTATGTTCCCTCCAGTCCAATTCCCTGTAGGACTTTGAACATAAATGCATGTTGAATTTTGTCAAAGGCCTTCTCTGCATCTATTGAGATGACCATGTGGTTCTTGTCTTTGAGTCCATTTACATGATTTATGAAGTTGATTGACTTACATATATTGAATCATCCCTGCATCTCTGGAATAAATCCAACTTGATCATGGTGAATGATCTTTTTGATGTTTGTCTGTATGCGGTTTGCAAGTATTTTCTTGAGAATTTTTGTATCTATGTTCATTAAAGATATAGATCTATAGTTTCTTTTTTTGGTTGTATCTTTGCCTGGCTTTAGATTTAGATTAATGATGGTCTTATAGAAGGAAATTGGAAGTTCTCCCTCCACTTCTATCTTTTTGAATAAATTAAGTAGTATTGGACATAGATCTTCTTTAAATGTCTGGTAGAATTCTGCTGTAAATCCAAAGTGGTCCTCGCTTTTTTTAGTAGGGAGGTTTTGTATTGCTGTTTCAATTTCCTTATGTGTTATAGGTCAGTTTAAGCTGTTGATCTCTTCTTGGTTTAGTTTTGGTGGTTCCCATGATATTAGGTTTTCAAATTTAGTGGCGTATAGGTTTTTAAAGTATTCCCTTGTAATGTTCTGGATCTTTTTGGTGTCTGTTTTGATCTTTCCCCTTTCATCTTTGATTTTGTTGATTTGGAGGTGCTCTTTCTTTCTTTGGTTAATTGGGCTAGGGGTCTGTTCATCTTGTTTAACTAAATGTTTATACCAGGGTAGAAAGTGCTCTGGGGGAAATGAATCTCTTTTTAGCCCTTGCTTGGAGTCCTATTAATGATTCTTTCTTACTTTATAACCTCTCATGAAATTGTGCCTTCATATGAACTACTCAGTGCTGATTCAGTGTAAGCCTTTGTTAACAGTTTTTTACTCAATTAGTTTTAACTTTTTGCTTCATTTTTCAGAACTATTGTTTCTGCCATCTACAATATATTATGTAGCAAAATTTTACCAGTATGGGATAATCTGGGGGTGGGTAGTGACTAAAACTAGATATTGTGAAGGAAGTTGAATGTGTTATTTCTGTGTATGTGGGCGTTAAGCATTCAGAGTGAGTACCAATTTTAAAATAAATTGCCTTATTTGCACTCATATCCTGTTGCCCATGTTTATCAATACCCATTTATATGCATCTCATTTTGCGTAATTTGGGGCCATACTAATATTTTTATTAAATTGTGATTAAAGCATGTGCTACTTGCACACATCATTATCATAAATGAAGTCTTGTATTAGTCAACTGACAGAAATCTATGTACTTTTCTCTCATCCAGAATTCTCAAGCAATATGATCACCCCAATATTGTTAAACTTATAGGCGTGTGTACACAAAGGCAGCCCGTCTACATCATTATGGAGCTGGTCCCAGGTAATGCGATTTGAGAGGTTTGCTTGATGACATTTTAATGTTATATTTTATTACTTTTTCATGTTTAGTCTCTTTGATTTCCCCTTCTAAAGTTTCCAAGGAGTTTTGCATAACATTTTCCTGATAACAAAGCTTGTATATACACTCAATGTTTATGTAGGCTATAATATGTTGCTGTTTTCAAGAAAATGTCAGCCAACATTTCTTGAGGCAGATTTATTAGAGTATAGTTGCAAGTGGAGTTCAGTTACATATAGTGTTTATGTATGAAAAGTTGTGCAGAAAAATTTGTCATTGGTATACCTTGATGACACTGCAACTGCCCCTTATATTTAGTTTTGTGTCATTTTCCAAACACATTGCTAAGTAGCCTCGTTTTTTATTATATAAAACATTTGCATTGTACTTTGGGGTCATTTGTGAACTATGTGCTTCCTTCATATGTGGACCAATAAAGGATTATCTATCTGGGAATTTTCTCCAGAGACTTTCCTGACTCCAGGTCTCTTAGTTAACAATTTTTGACAATAAACAAGGACAACCTCAATCTGTCATAGTATGTTTAAAGTTTTTCTCATTATCCATGCAAAAATACAGAGGTAAACTTTGATATTGATAAGGTTTTCAGTGTTTAATAACTAAAAAGGGTTTGCTTTACCTTTTCAGTTTCTTCTTTAATTACTTATTTGATTAGAATAAATGTAAAGGAATATGAAAAATGTTTGTGATTTTAATTTAAATTCTTAGAGTACACCTAATATTGTATATACCCTATAAAATATGGCCTATATTAATGCTTCCACTATTTAGGATTATTTCTTCTATCTTATCATACTACATTGCTTGCTACTCAAATATCCCAAATACTACCATATAACTGCCGGACACATAGATTATTACTCACTTCATCCTCATTGAAATGCATTTTCTGTGTTAGGCCTGATTTGCACTTCTCTGAACTATAGATGAATAGGTATAATCTAAAAATTTGGAGACAATTGAGTAGTAGATAGTTATAATTAGAATAGGATATTTAAACATAAACATAGGGACACTCACATGGGTACAGATGGAGCCTTTGTTCACTAAGGAATGCTACCTAGACACTTAGATTTGGGAGGTAGGCAAACTTGAAGAAAAGTGACTCTTGTTACTGTGGGCCATCAAAACTCATGATTGTAAAATGTAGATGGCATGTCTAAGTTGAATAAAACAAATGATAGTTTTGTACAGAAGCAGGCATGTATTCATCTAAGTGCTGGCAAGTAACCTCTGCTACAACTTTTTTTTACATGTAATTAAAGATAAAAAATTAAACATGCAAGTCTTCTACTCAGCATTGTAATTATATTTCAGTACTAATTTGTTGTTGACAGTCCCCCCCACAGGAAGAAATGCTTAATGTAGGGACTTTGAATTTTCTTTTTTAAATCCTCTATAATTATAGGAAAATCATTCAACAGCAATGCTTCAAGTCTTGGCTTTTTCTTGTAATATAACTTGTGATGAGATTATTGTGTCATAGTCGCCTGTATACATCTTCCTTCACCTCATATTGACTATAAAGTATTCTGTTTTGTAAAACTTACATAGTTTATCCAGTCTGTATTCTAGTTATGTATGCTCTGCTCTTTCCTTTTTATCTTCCCTTTTCTTTACTTTTTCTCTTTCTTTTTTGCAAACAGTGCTCAATCATTTTACCCTTGTTGTGAACTTGTTTAGAAATAAGATTAAAAACTTAGAAGTAGGATTGTTGGATCCAACTGAATGTGTACATTTAATTGATAGATTGCTTTATAACAAATTTTCACTGTAAGAGTTTTAAGTAACTCATTTATTACTTCACAGTAGTGTAGGTTAGAAGTTGAACCAAGCTCAGCTGAATTCTCTGAGGCCAATGTCAAAATGTCATGCTTATCTGGACACCCTAGAGACTAATCTGCAACCAGGCTTATTCAGATATTGGCAGGTCCTTTGCCTTGTGACTGTTCACCTGAGCCTCTCATTTCTTTTTGGTGTGTCATCCATGTCACTTCATAGCACAGTCATGCCAAATCCTTCAAGTGTTTTAGATTTCCCTGACTTACACTTATATTACTAGCTGGAGAATTTATATGAAATCAGGCCTATCTAGACAATTTCCCTATATTAAGGTCAACTCTGCCATGTGACCAAACATATTCATGAGATTGGCATCTAATCATGTTCTTAAGAGCTAAGGATTAGGGTAACACATGTTTGAGAAGCTATCAAGTCCTGCCTACCTTAAGAAATTTTGCTAAATTTTCTCAAAGACTAGTTGTAGTGTGGAATCTAAACTCTATTCATGAACTTTTCATATCAAGTTACGTGAAATCCCATGATTGATATATAATAAAATGTTATCTTTTTACCCAGACATGATTCTGCAGTATCACAATTGAATCATTTTGAAAATACCAGGTCATTAGGCTGCACACATCTTTCAGAGAGTGATATAGTTCATTATACAGTATCAAAAGAGCTTGTTCATTAATGCACAGTTAGTCTCATTAGAAAAGCAATATGACACCCTTAAATTCATGGTAGCAGTTACATACTTTCTAAAATTTTAATTCTGTTTTGAAAGCTTGGATTTTATCACTGGCCTTAAAACTTAGCTTTTTTTTTTGAAGAGTCAAGGTTACTTAATTCATTTTTAATAAAATGACTGCAAAACATATTAATTTTTTCTCTCTCTTTTTCAAAACAGGCTTAATGATATGTAACTGATGCACAATAAAGAGTAGCATGTATAAAGTATGTATATATTGACATTTGTATAATCCTTTGAAAGCCTTGCCTCAGTCAAGGCACTGAACAGCTCTCTCACTCCCATATTTCTCATGACTTTGTGGCTCCTTCCTGACCTTTCTACAGCATCCCAGTCAACTGATCTGCCACTTGTCACTGATAGTTAATATTTCTTAGAGTTTTATGTAAAGGGAATTATACATTATTTTTCATTTTTGTCCAGTCCATAATTAAATTTGTCCAATCTCATAATTATATGAGAGTAACCCATTTTTATTTAACATACAAAATAATGGGTTTCATCATGACATTTTCATACATATATGTTGTACCCTGCTCATATTTATCCCTTGCTTTCTCTGCCCCTCCCCCTTCATCAGTCCCTTTCAACCCCCTCAAATACTTCTGCTTCTGCTTTCATGTCATATATTCATATAGTTAAATTTAGATTCTGTATCTGTGAGAAAAAATGTGTGATACTTCATTTCCCCCATTACCTCTAATTCTCCACCTCCTTCTCCCCTGCACCTCATAATCCATGTTTTGATGTATATCACAGTCCAGTCCTTTGTATTGCTGAGTAGAATTCCATTTTATGAATACATTATAGTCCATCCATCCAGCAGTTGATAGATGTGAACATTCATGTGCTTTGTTTATCTTGGAACTTTGAGTAGATAGAATGGTTCATATGACATTTATGTTTGAAATTTTAAGAAATTACCAAATTGCTTTAAAAGCAATCATTATACATTCCTTATAACATTTTATGAGAGTTCTGCTTTTTCCACATCCTCCTCAACACTTGGTCTTTCTTTAGCCTTTCTAATATTTCTATAGAGGTTGTTCGCTTGCTTGGTTTTGTTTGTTTTCTTTTGCTTTTGTTTTGTTTTGTGGCAGAATCTCACTATGTAGCCCTGCCTCGCTATACAGACCAAGATGACCTTGAACGCAGAGATTTGATGTTTCGGCCCCCAATGTGCTAGGATTAAAAGTGCCACCACACCAGTTTTGTTTTGGCTTGAATTTACTTTTCCTTGGTGACTAAGAATGTTTACTCTCTTTCATATACTTTGGGGTGGGGCATTTCTTCAACTTCTTTGATCTAGTGTCTTTTCAAATAACTTACCTACTTTTAAAATTGGGTTGTTTGCTTTTTGTAATTAAGTCTTGGTTCTTTCATATTTTGATGTATGTGCTTTTTCTGTTGGTTTCTACCTTTTATTTTCTTAACAGTGTCTTTTGAAGAGCAGATGTTTTTAATTTTGATGAAATATAATTTATGTTTTATGAATCATGCTTTTGATGGTATATCTAAGAAATCTTTGAACACAAGGCTACAAAGATTTTCCTCTTCCATTTAATTTTTTTTAAGTTGCAAACTTTTAGAATGTATATTCGACTCTAATCAGTTTATGGTATTTTTTTGTTATTTAATGAATAAATATACTGAAGTTCATATTTTTAGCATGATGTCCTGTTGTTCCAGTACCACTTGTTTCAGTTACTAGATATTTTCTCCCTTCTTGTCTTTTTAGCTTTATATAAAATTCACTTATCATATACATGTGAATCTATTTTTTAACTCTTTTTCCTGGCACTTGTTTGTTTTTCTTCATGCTGGCATCACAGTAGCTTAATAGCAGTAGCTTAACAAATCTTGACCCCAGAATTAGTGCACATATTTTATATAAGGCCAGAAATCATATAAGTATGTTACAGAGAAGAATCTAGAGGAAATCTCTGGGAAATGGACCTTGGATAATGAGTTTTATAGATGTTACATCATTCAAGACACAAAAGAAAAAACTAAAAAAAAAAATGGAGCTATGGCAATTTAAAAATTCTCACAGGAAAAGAAGCAGTCAACAAAAAGAAACAATTAGCCTAAGGATTGAGAAAAGTGTAGGTAAACCAATATATGATAAAGGATTAATACCCAAAGTTGACAGAATTCAAAGAACCCGACAGTAAAAAAACAACTTTAATCAAAGTGGACAGAATAGACATTTATCTAAAGAAGACATAAAAATAGCTAACAAGTATATAAAAGATGCTCAAGATATTAGCTATGCTATACAAAACAGCAGTACAATACCCACCCATTAGTATGACTGTTATCAGATAAGTCAAAAGATAACAAATGTTGGCAAGAATGTGATGAGAAAGAAACTGAGTTCCTGGGAATGCACTTTCTCTCTCTAGGCATAACACTGTAGCAAGGACAT